ATCAGAAACATCTGGAAAGTTTCGAAATATGGTGTTGGAGAAGGATGGAGAAGATCAGTTGGCCCGATTATGTGAGAAATGAAGAAGTGTTAATTAGAGTCAGTGAGCAGAGGAATATCCTACACGAAATAAGAAAACGGAAGGCTAATTGGATTGGTCATGTTTTACGCAGAAACTGCCTTCTAAAAGAAGTTATCGACGGAAAGATAGATGGGCGGATAGAAGTGACAAGAAGACGTAAGAAGATGCTGGATGACCTTGGGGACAGAAGAGGATACTGTCATTTGAAGGAGAAAGCTCTAGATCGCATTAAGTGGAGGAATTGTTTTGGAAGAGACTGTGGACCTGTCATCTTGACAGATTACTGATGATGATGAATGAGGGTATAATGTATATTATTCAGGAATTGGGATATTCAATAATCTACCACAAGGCATCAGGAATCTATTAAATGATATTACTAAATTCAAACAGGCTCTAAAAGAGATTCTTCTTGCTGGTTCATTTTATTCTTTAAATGAATATCATGAACGGAACAAAAGGGGTGATCTTGATTCTTATAAATAGTATCTAAAATTAACCTTGACAAGTCCTTGACTTCTGAGAGAAGTTATTTATTCCATTTATTGTTCATGCATGTTAGATGTGTGAGTGATTTAACAAACATTATTTGATATTGTACTGTTTATTGATAATATCCATTCATATGCATTGTTTTTATAAACTGGATGAATTTTATAAGATAAACGGTTAATATGTTTTCATCTAGTATTTAAGTCTTGCTGTAGTCACATTTTATTATGTTAAGTGAGTGTGTTGTCTATGTTCTATATTATGTTATTTTGACTTGTTCCAGTGATTGGTTGGAACATTTCTTTGATTTTTGACGTATTCTAGATCCAGTGGTGTCAACTTGTTTCTCGCCCTGTAATTGGAACTACTTGAATATAAGAATAAATTAAATTAAATGAGGGTTTACTGTACTTGCAATGCAGCAACTTACCAAGGCTTGATTCCTGAATGAAGTAACACAGTGAAGCCAAAATAGCTGCCCCTTGCTCCTGTCCCTTTCAATGGATCTTCATACATTATGGGGTGATTTGTATCCAAGTTGAAGCCATGGGAAGAAAGCAAAAGAATACTAGTTACCAGCAATGTAAACAACAAAAACATTTTTCACTAATGACAAGCAGTTTCTAGCCCTGCTTATGAGTATTAATAACATGTAATTAATCTTATAGAAGTGCTGTTCCCATTTTGTATGGCGATAACATCTAATCTGAACACTGATTACCTAACAATGCATGTATGTCTGACATTTGCATGTCTTGTGTTATCTACACAGGAAAGAGAAAGGAAGTCCAGGTCAACCACAAAACAGGAAACTGCACCAAAAGGAACAGTCATGTGCCAGATAATCGACAGGAAATTAAATACATCAATGGCTTCATTTTAGGAATCGTCTAATGTTCCTTTATAACATATATAACACCACCCATACATGTGTTCAAAAACAGTCAGTCTTTGTCAGGATAATTATGTACTCACTCTAACATTACTGTTCAGATATATAACCACTGCTATCATTTGTCTACAGAGACAATTACACTGGCTATCAGCCAGTCCAGTACACTATATACAGTATATATACATTTACATACATCATTTGAATATTTGGTATATCAATACACAAAACCATTGTATTACAATACACTTAGTGTGGAAATTTGCAAATTTTTTGATTCAAGAGTACAATCTCAACATACATACAAAAATAGATAACTCTTCACCATCTTCTTAAGTGCAACACACTGAAAAGAATATTCATATGTGGGATATTACAAAGGCCATATTATACAACATGATACATTTGCTAAACATTCCTACAGCTTACAGTATACAGAAAGTATGATATAGAAATTCATGTAGGTAAGAATACAAAACTCACTGTGCATTTGACAACCTCCAAGTGTTTAAATTTCTTTCTGTGGGGTGGAATCTAAATGAACACTCACTATTACTAGCTTTCTGGACTTCCGTCAATCAACTGTTGGAAATGGTACATATCTGTCACCTTAGGGTGGGACAAATCCAGCTCCAAAAACACTTGTGTTCTATTTTAGACTATCAGATGATGGACAAAGTCCAGAAAACTAATAATGTGTGTTCAAATTTAACTTGCAAACAATGCCTAACACACTGACTTCTTGATAAATGCCTATTATCCTGACTACAGCAGTCTTGTTTACAATGGAACTTAACAATTATTTCAGTTTGCTTCTAAACAAACACATGCTTAAATAATAATATTATTAATGACAGATTATGGCCACTATTTCAATCACCCAGAAGTTAATATCACAACAGAAAGAAGAGCACATAGCAACTGGTACTCACTGGCACATCAGTATACCTATTACAAGATGCATAGTTACTTTCATTTAAGTAAATGCTAGGCAGTCTATTTATGAATATACCATAAACTCCACAACAGTGTACAGTAAACTCAGAATAAATGACTTACTGATAGTTTCAGGATCATCCTAATAATAATACATTGACATGGTTCAATATTATCAGAAGCACATTTATATAAAGGAAATATTAATAATTCCAGTTCCTGAAATAGATAAAAAATCCATCTCTTCAATTTATGTTGCCAGCAATAAACTACATTTATTCTTATACAGAACAGATGTGTGTGTGACCCGGAGTGGAAATGGCTTTTCAGTACTAGGTAGACACTCCAGTTCAGAAGCAGGCAGATGTTCCTGATCAGCAGAAAATTGCAGGGAATAACAAGCCCATATTAAATGGAAATTTAAATGCTAAATAGTCTTGATACTGACAGTGTCATTAAACAACCAACTTAAGGCATTGGAAATAGCCTTCTCACAATGAAGCACCCTGTCTCTATGAATCTACTTCCATTTCCAGCTGTGTGTAACATACTTCAAGAGCCTGCTCCATAACTTCCTGTATTTCTCCACTATTATACTACCCAAATTGATGAAACATTATAACGCTATAATTAGTCAGGAAGAAAATGGTAAACTTCCAAATGTTTCTTCACTTCATTGTGACCAAGCTGTTATTTCTGTCTGTTGAGAATAAAATTAGATTTGGTGTAGTGAATTAGATTAGGTGGGTTTTTCAGCTTTTAAAAAAGACTTAAAATCATTTTTATTGAAACATTCTTTTTATATGATAAATGAATTTGTTAGTTTTAATAAAAAAAGTGGATGGTGCAAGCACTTATGTTTGGATGTCATAGCTATTCATGAGCTGTATATAGTAGTTTGTATATTTTTTGGAATGTTGTATTTATATATTGCTTATGATTGTAACAAAGTTAGTAGTATGCTTGTAACTTTGTAGATTTATTTTGTTAACTTGTATTACTGAATGATGTGTCCAAGTGTTACTATGTAGCAAAACGGATGAAATACAATACAATACGATTAAAGGGATAAATGTTAAATGACACTTGCACCATGACTGTATTTGATATATTGTGCATCTCCTAAGATGTACAGGAAGATAAATATAAAGTATGGCAGCTACATAGTCAGTACTCTCCACTGTAGGAAAAGTTGCTTCAAATACACCAAGTTAACAGTTAACTTCTGAAGTCAGACAACAATAGCATAAGTAGTTAAATTTGGAAACTTCAGGATAGTACACCTACAAGGGAACAATCAACTCATGGAACTCATAAGGAATTACCTCTCTTTTGACTGCATTTAGAGCACAATCTGACTTATCATTTCATACTTTCAGTGTGTCTGTTTTCACAATTACCACTAAATTAACAACGCAAAAGGAAAAAATTAATATCTTTCCTTTACTTAATTTTCAAAGTTTCCAAATATAATATGTTAAAATGTTTTAAACCAGTGTTGCAACTGTCCTGAAGCCCAAACCAATGTTCTAGTCAGTTTCCTTGAACCAACATGCTGTAAGCGCAACAGTGAACATCTTATTTCATCGATAATTTTGTGACAGTAAATAAAAACAAACTGTTATAAATATCCAGTCTTTGGCATCAACATAACGGAATAGTTATGGACTGTACAGTTGGCTACAGCAGACACAACCTTGAATCTTTATCATCCAAGAACAAAGAATTTAAAATTTTTGATACTATAACAGGGTTGGCAGTTGGATTTTAATTGGGGGATAATGGTAGTTATTGAAAGAAACAATCCTCTGTCTACCAGACCACAAACATGTAGTAGCAATAGTTGCATGCATGGATAATAAGAATGAGAAGATTACTAATTGGAGACATCACTTTGTTTGGCAGAAATTTAATGACATTTTGGAGGAACATACTGCCTGTCTTCAGGCATGAACAGTAAGCTGAGCAAGCCCAGAAGATAGGACTCTGCATTGTCATCACCATGCGAATTTCAAATTCCACAGTAAATATTAAAATTGCAGCATTTAAGTGCTGTCATACATAGACTTGCTGTTAAGTGGAAGATGTGAAAATACAGGCTCAAAATTACAGAACCTTATGTGGCCAATATGATTTATTTTCATATTTTCATCTGTCTGCTACATTGCTGTTGTTTTTTCATACCAGACGATACAGTTCAGACGCAAAATTGTGGTTTATTACTAAACTTATTTGAATATATGAAGATCTGAGGTTTTCTGGAGTTAAGACCTAAAAGTATCAAATTTAAAAAATTTCAACCTTTACAGAAATGGCTATGTCTGACAGCACAGGATATCTGTTGACATTTTACATGCACTATATAGCCAAGAAACAATGGAAATTGTTACATTTGAAGTTCTTTGGGAACTGTTATTTTTGTTATTTATCCATAAAAGAACAGCAACTCTGAAAACCTAAAAAGTGGCTTGATATTTCTATGGCTCAGATCATTTTAAATTTGAACCGTCTTCAAGCAGTCATCCTGAAGGAAAGTATCTGGCTTCAAATGACTAAATCTCTGCAATCAACAAAGATTATTTTGAATATTTAACTCTTAAACAAGATTTCAGTATACTATATTATAAGGGACAGGACCCTTTTATTATATGACATTCTACTGTTATGAGGAGCAGAGGGTTAAGGTGCTCTATGGAAGCCAAATCTCATTGAATATACTCGGTCCAAGACAGAGTAAGAGTGGCCACATCCAACTTTTCCCACAGCCTAGAAAGTTGTGTTACTAAGTCAGCAAAGTATATTTTAATTACAATGGGATCAGTAAATGAATCTACAGTTTTCTTTCTGTGGGATCTACAACTACAGGTTTCAGATCTGGTGTTTCATTATATTAACACACACACTGCCATTTCATACAGAAAAGCACAGCACTATTCTGCAAACATTACTTCAATTTTCAAAATTAAACAGGGTATGAAGATATAATTTAAAATGGATGCAATGAAGCCTTTTGTGGCAACAGCTGCAAGAACACAGTATCCAATGTTTCAGAAACTGTTTCTGTCTCCATCATCAATGATTGATATGAAGAGTGACATGATAGCATACTGTATTTATTATACCAACAGAATATGATCCCGGTTATCTCTGCAATTTGCAGATGGTGTCCAAAATGTTGAATACTATCTCCATCTTTATGCAGCTGATCACTCAAAATAACTCCACTGCACACAGGCACTGTGAAAACTTTAAATCATACAAACCCCAAATAAATGTTTATGCACATATTTGAATTCTACATTCCAAACTGTTGTTCCTATGACAACATGTCCATCATGTCATGCCACTCATTGACTCTTGTTTCATCATCAAACTATGCTTTTGTTCAGTGTTGTGTGAGATACAGTTGTTACCAATATCAACACTGTTTTTGGATAATAGCATTTTTCTGGTCTCCAAAATGCCAGAACTACAATGTATTTCTATCCATATTCATCAACCAGAATGCTATTAACTGCCGTGAAAGCTTAAAATCCACAGTATTACCATTATATCAAAGTCTGCTCACAGATTTTCTGATTAAAAACTAGTTAATCGTTCAAAATTCTTTAAAAAATAAACTCAATGTTTACTGATCATTCATTGAATTCCTGTTGACCTGTGGCCTGCATGTGGTTTAGGTATCACATTTCTGTTGCACTGCTTATGAGGAAAGCAGATAATAATGTTAAGTCATATGAAGTACATAGTGCGTAACAAAACTTTACATAACAGCAAAGTTGCTACAGTAGTATAATACGAGGGTCGTACTGAAAGTCATGAGCAAAAATTTTTTGTAAAGTAACATGCTTTATTATTGACAAACCAAATACACCACCTCAATCTACAGACCTTTCTTTATTTTTCCACATAGTCGGCACTTTTTTGTACACATTTCTCCCAGCATTCTGGGAGTTTGAAAATTCTCCTTCTGTAAAATTCCGTTCCAGCCATCCGAAGACACTGACACACTGCTTTCTGCATTGCCTCCCTTGTCTCAAAACGTTGTCCATGCAGCTGATCCTTCACAAATCCGAAAAGATGGTAGTTGGAGGGTTCCAGGTCAGGGCTATAGGAAGGTTGTGGAAGAAATTCCCACCCCATCTTAGCAATTGCTTCCAATGTGAGGCGAGTGGCATGGGGGCGAGTGTTGTCATGCAGGATGTTTCATCCTGGACATTTATCGCGCAATGCACGATGGAGCTTGTGCAGCATCTGGACATAATGAGCAGCACTAATGTCTTGCCCAGGTTCCAGGAATTCAGCCAGAATAAACCCCTCTGCATCCCAGAAGACTATGCCCATCACCTTCGCAGCTGATGGCACTGTCTTTGCCTTCTTTTTTGATGGAGAATGCAAATGGTGCCATTCCATACTCTGCCGTTTCGTTTCAGGCTCAAAATGGTGAAACCAGCTTTCATCACCTGTCACAATACAGAGCAAAAAATCATTGCCTTTGTGTTGATATCTCTGCAGCAGTTCTGAGGTGATGGCTTTTCGCTGACCTTTGCGGCCTTCAGTCAATAACCGCGGGACCCAACGAGCACATACTTTCCTATAGCCCAAGCTTTCAATCATCTCCTGTACTGCACTGTGCCCTATTCCAAGTTTTCGCGCTATTGTGTCCACAGTCACATGCCTGTCATCTTGAACAATCTCGTCCACTCTTTCGTTGTTGCGTTCAGTTGAGACTGTTCGAGGACGACTGCTCCAAGGCTCTTCTTCGATGGTGTTCCCATCTTTAAAATGTTTCACCCATCTCTGAACACTGCTCGCACCCATGCACACTTCCATAAGCACGCTGAAGTCTCTGGTGAATTTCTGCAGCAGGGATTTCCTCTTTCATAAGAAATTTGATGACAGCATGCTGGCGAAATGACATATTGTTGTTGGTTATTTTGTTAGGAGTGATACTGGTCACGTGATGCAAGCTATTGATATCACAAGACATTCAAGGTTAACACAACAGCTGGTTCCACCTACCACTGTACTCTCTTTCGTCTGCTGTTCCCAGATTGCATGCAAAAAAAAGTTGCTCATGACTTTCGGTACGACCTACGTACATACAGTATTGCTCATGACTCTGAAAGAAGAAAACTGATAATGGGTAATGAGTGTACCTATCAGCTCAACAATCCAGAAAATTAGGCTTGCAATACATAATCAGAAGTATCTATTCTTTGCTTGTGACAGTCACTTTCCTTGTCAGTATCACATTATATAGTAGCTAAAACTTTAAAATTTAAACAAGGAATAATATGCAAATTGAGGCATCAGTCATTGTTCACTTTCCATACAGTACGGACAATTCTTCGCAAGATGAGGCATTGACTATACAGTAAGTAATAATATATACTATATCTTCGATATCAAAATCAATTATTAATTATAACAAAATTTAATACTATTATATTCATATCATTGTCAGATTAATTTGCAACATCATGGGCCTCCTATGCATTCTTATATATAAAAAAAATATCAAATTTCCAATTTGTCCATGGAAACGTATGAAAAGTAAAATATCGACGACTGATTCGATGTTATATAACATCAATTTTATCTTGTTTTATATAATAACTTTTAGTTTTTTATATAATCTGACTTATTGTATTTTTATGAAAAGTATTTTAAATGATTAATAACATTGTATCCAATCTAATGTACTGCAGTTCAATGGTATATGTTTGTTAATATGTGTTTGCCTGATGAATGCCGTTAGTGGCTGAAACATGTAGCGTAACCATAGCTGCGTGCTGTCCTTGATTTTTTCTGTTTGTTGTGTTGTGACGGTCAATAAAGAGCTGTACATTAGAGTATATTCATACAAATAAAAATGTTGGGAATGAGGATTCTAATCATATTCAAAAACTCTATCACAGTATTTGCACATTTCTTTAAGAGTTGTGGTTACTGAGCTTACTGGAAAGAGAAGTTTTGTATCTTTTGCTTTTCTCTATTAGGACCAGGATAGGAAACAGATTTTTGTATACCTCAGATTACATAGTACTGAATGATGAATTGGAAAAAATGTGGAAGGAAGTGGTCATGGCCTAATATGAGGAAATATCTCAAGATTTGTCTGGCAGAAACAACATGGAGTGTCTGAAGTGTGACAAGATGAGACATGAGTACTATGAACATTCTCCATGATTCCAAGCAACCCATTTCTTCTTATCCTTCCAATACAACTACAGACATAGTCGTAAAGCAACTGTGATTAACTGCACCTAAGGTCTTCCACTCTGGCATTCTACAGCGACATTTTTAATCCTACTGACCAGTTCACGGTTCTGTCCTTCACTGTGACCGGTCCACCGCCAGCTGCAAAGTGTATGTGAATTTTGCTGATAACTCAGCATGCTTGATGGCTGATAATGTATGGAATGAAGGAAAATAATACACCTCTACACAGTATTCTGTTACATGACAGGCAGTGTGGCTCATGCATGTGAAGTCTGTTTATGATTTGTCAGAAGCAGGCAGTAGTTATCAGCGCCATGAGCCATTTGTTCCCAGTTAGCAGTTAGTCTGCAGTGTGGCATGACATGGTTCATGAAACTTTAGAGCAACGTGTATTTTTGTATGTCACCTATGTGAAATACAGATCTGCTTTAAGTGCTGGAGAAAATTTTGATGTGAATTTCATGATGAAAGAGTTCCTAGCAGACAATTCATAATTTGGTGAATAAACATAGAATGGGACTCCACTAAGTGCTTCATGAGGAGAAGTTGGATGACACAGGGGCCAGACTTGAACATACACCTAGAAGATAACTGAAAGGTCTAGTTCAAGAGACTGGAGTGTCAAAGTCTAGTGCAAGGATTGTTGTACGTGTTCTTTAATGAAACAATTAATTGCAAAAGATATTTACGTGAAGAGGGATGGCATTTTCAAAACCTTTGATCTGTAAAAAAAAGGTAAGACTTCCCTTCATTCCAAATGTTACCGGCATGCTGTCATTGCAAAATTCATGTGCACTTCATGGCTGGCAGTGCCCTGGTAGTGGTGAAGCACATAGCCGTGAAAGCATCAATTTTATTAAAAAACACCCTGTATTTAGCAACATTCTACCGTGACATCTGCATTGAACCTCTTGAAATGTAAAAGCCAAGAAATCAGAACAGTCTCTGAAGGTCTGTATGTATAGTCAAACTACCACTTACGGATTTGCTGGAGAGCAATTGACCTGAACATTAGGATGATAATGAGAATCTTAAATGGAGGAAATTGACTTATGATCAATGAAACTGGATGTTATGTGAGGGAAAAATGTAGATCAAGGATCATTAAATGGGGGTTCTGATGTATTAACATAAACCTAATGCATTATAATTTCTTTTCATTTTTTCTTTTCAACATATCACTCCAAAACTTCTGCTTTCAGTCCAAGTACAGTCCCATCAATTACACTTCTCACACCCATGGTATGAGAACATATGCTCCTTTTTGCACATATTATAAGACATGTCTGAAGATACACAGATTGCAAGTACGAAACAAAAATGATACTGTTAATTAAAGAACATGGTCTTCCAGGATGATTCCATGTAGTCTGGTAGAGAGGTAGCAACACTTTGGAGAACATACTCTCCCATCTTAAGAGTCAACATGAGAGTCTACAAACTCCATGGCATTACATCTTTGAAGACACTAACCTTTATATTCATTGTTGTGAGAACTTCAAATCCCAGAGTCAAGCTACTTATACACTATTCCAAATCATGATCTAACTTATGTGAGAAGATCCTGATATGCAGGCGCCCCACACTATAGTCGCTTCTACCACCACATCAACAAGTAGCAGTCACAAAGTTTTAAAGAGATTTATCTCAAAATATGCACTTCATATCCATTTTAGTACAATTTTAATTTTTATGTTTTAATCTTTAGTCTCTAATTATTAAATTTTATTATCTGAGTATTTAAAAATTTTAACTGACTCAATTTATGCATTTAAAAACACTCAAGAGCACAATAAGGATCCTTATTGAAGAATTAGATGCAATTCAACAACTGAATCTGGTATCATTGTACACTTGGTGATGATCCAGTAAAGGGTCAAAATATGTTGTCAATAAAAACATGTTGATACGATAGCGACTCCTTTGTTTTAAATACAGAATATTGTTCTGTAGACTGCATACTTTTGTATACATTTTGTGTATCTTGTTTAGACAGCATTACATCCCAGACAACCATAATTTAAATACTCACTGCCATGACAACTTCAATCTCATATAATGGACTGAAAATAAACATGTTGGTGTTGTACCGACATGATTAACATGCCAATAGCATAAGATAGCTTCGCTGGATGATCAGAAAATCTTCTCAAGTTCAAATAAGAGCTTGAAACACAGAATATGGTCTCTCTACTTAATGAAAAAGATGTTTTATAGCTCAAACAAATGGCTGAAACACTAAAAAATGGCTTTTCTAGATGACTAGACAAATATATTTTCTAGTTAAAATAAGAGAATGTAACACAGAAAATTGGCTGTCTAGATTATTAGACAAATGCTTTCTCATTCAAACAAAAGCATGTAAACAGAAAATGGCTTCTCTAGACAATTAGACAAATCAGTTTCTAATTCAAATTAAAGCCTGTAACAAAGCAAAAGGCTTCCCTAGATTATTATACAGATATTTGATCAAATAAAACATGCTGACAAGGGGCTGTTAGGAGTTTCAGTAATAAATAAAGTGCCATTGTCATGGCCATGAACCAGTTTCTCCCGTATGTATATGTATGATTGTTTCACTCTGTGCACTGGACAACTGGGAGTCTGACATGTTTTTTTATAATGACAGTCACAATAGTTTTCAATACAGCACTAACACATCAATGTGGGTACATAAAATTATATTTGAATCTTCCAATTTTACAATCAGTCAATCTTAACTGTGATCATGGTAATTCTGGTCTCCCTATAAATATGATATGCTTCAATAAATCAATTATCTTTCTAAAAAATAGATCATCATTTTGCATATAGACTGGAAGATCAACAAATATCTGGTTCAAACTATTATATATCAATGAAGATAGTGTCGCATTGATGATACCTTGCTAAGCATTTGTTCATTACTTACATAAATGATGGCCATGCATTTGTTACAAAATATAATACACAATATTTTTTGAACATAATGAAAAACAAAACAAAAATTTATGATCTTTATATGTGTTTTGCATCCTGTTCAGAAAGCAGTTAATCTGCAATAAGTGAAATGTAAGAATACATAATTACCCAGAAACATTTCTTCTTTCAGGTGTATTGCTATTCTCAAATCTTGTAGAGAAACAGCCAACTGACTAGACTTTAACGTTGCCACACAAGTGTGCAAATGAATTGCTCAATCTACTGTTACAAGTAAAATTACATACTATTATGTCCACTTGTTAATAATATAGTATATAACAACAAACTGTAACTATAAGTTATACTACAAAATTAATGATAATAGTATATGTACACAAGAAATATTGGAAGTTCTGCATTACTTACCAAACATACTCCAACTCATTGAAAATGGAAGACAAAAAATAAATGTCATATATACACCATAAGCATTAATGCTTCCGTTCAACTACATTCATTTACATGTATACATCTGTAGTTAATGAAGTTTAGTATGACCAGTAAAACATGTGGCAAACTAATCAGAAGCATCTACAGAGAAGAAATAATATCGACTCACAGCACGTTTGCCAATATTGAGGTATATCATGGTTACTCAAAACTCCTAATTAGCAGGGTTTCTGAATGCTTGGAAGAAATAATGGGTACTGTACCCCTGTCAGAACAGTTACAACCCAATGACACCAAAACTGAGGCATTGCAAAAAAAATATAGGCCCATTTCAAAAGCATAACTTAAAAACAATGAATTATGGAAAGTAGCATATGAAGACTTGTACATGCTGATAACACATACATATGAAGAAAACTTATACAGACTACTACTAACATTTTACACGTGATCAGTCACTATGGCAAATCATAAACAGCAAATCTAGAATGAATGTATACAGTACAAAACAACAAACTTACTATGAGATGTTAAAAAAAAACAACACTAATGCTATTCATCCTCACTTCACTTTGCAATCCTTACTTCACACGGCTCTACTAAATCGGACTGCATCCTTTTCTGCAGTCTGCCTATAGATCACCATCACTTTCAATCTTCCGAATATGCTACTGAAGGCTAGGAATAGTATGAATCTATGATCACAAAATAATGTTACAAATTCAGTTAGAATCTGAATCGCCAATATGATTTCTGTAATTTCTACGGGCTCTATCAAGCCGACTTTTGAATCGCTTAAAGATCATCCAGTCAGGGTCATCAGACCCATCGTTGTCAGTTGCTATAACGCGAGAACTGTTGGACTCCACACGAAGACTCCCACTGCTGCTGCCAGGCCGAGAACTGAACGCAGAGCTCGACTCTAGACTGCCGGTACTACTGCATGGTGCCATAACGATGCCACTGTCTGGAGTTTCCATGTCAAGTGGAGACCTGTTATGCTGCTCGATACTGGAAGATGATGGACTGGGAAGGCTAGGCAAGATCACAGATCCCCTATTGTTATTATTGTTGTTACTGGCACTACTATCACACTTATCTTTTATTACATTCTTATTGCAATTAAAACTTCGAGCATATGATACTTTGAGCTTAGCTAAGGCCTCTGGATTTGCAGGGTTAGGAACTTTATTGTCTTTATTTCTCAGGGGAATCTTATGACTGAAATTTCCTTGATCATTATCAGATGAATCAGAAGATGTTTCTATCAGTATCTTTTTGTGACCATCACATTTCTGTTTCCCATTCCATTTCCGAACAGTATTATTTCTGACTGGTTTACTTATAGTGCTCAACTGTGAGGGTCGGTCATGAAATGAAGAGTTCCTTGTTTCAAACGTCTTAGATACATACCACACAGAGTCACTACTGGTGTCTGAGTCACTACCCTCCAAAACTGTGCCATTTTCTGACTCACTTAGCTTCCCTCTGCGCTTCCGTAACCTTTTTACCTTCTTGGAAAATTTGCTCTGGCTATTTTCATTACCACCATTCAACTGAGGATCTGATTCGCTTTGAATTTCATCACCACTCACTTCAGAAGTGCCCACACCATCTGTATCACTGCTTTTTGCTCCTGAACTCTTGGCTTCATTCCATAACTTTTTTCTTTTGTGGGAAGGTTTCCAGCCCACTTCTTCATCAGAACTCTCACTGAAAGCCAACATATACTTTAGCCTTCGTTTCCTGTTTTCATTGCACGATTTTGTCTCAGATTTCTTTGAAGTTTTGGATGAAGAAGCACTTGTCTTACCATTTTGATATCCAGTCACACTTTCTTTCTTTACAACACCACTTAACCTTTTCTTTGCTCTATTATTTACCACATCATCTTCAGAATCTGCAGTGTCTTCTTTATTTACTGTAACATCTCGCCCACTTTCACTACTATCAGTGATGTGTCCTGCACCAAGCATCAACATTCTTGCCTTATATTTCTTATTTGTTGACCGTGTAGCCTCTGGCAGGTCGTCAACTTGAGAGCGGGTCCGAGCCAACCGCATCAACTGGGCACGTTTTCTTGCAATTAATTGGGAGATCCTATTCTGTGCTTCCACTGGCTGGGATCGGTCGGCATCGGCAACATTTTGGTCAGGTGCTAGGAGACAGAACAGTGACAAATATTAGATTCAGCTAAGTAACTCAAATATAGGTTTTACAGCAGGGGAAATCTGTTATATTTTGTAAGCTGCAGAATGAAAGCGATCAGAGCATGATACTAAATTGTCATCACCAACCAGTGAAATGGCCTATGAAATATCTTACCTTCTTGTCTCTTATATACTTAATGTGGTGACAGAATAATGACAACTTCATCCAACAGCCAACCCTCTTTGAAATGAAAAACAAAAATGAAAACAATATATAATATTTAAGACCAATTTATAAAACTTCATAAAAGAAAATTGCACTTAGTTCAGAAGAATGTTCGTACGATTTTTTTATATAGGGACTCTGGGTTCTATGTGAGGAGAAGAATGGCAAGTAGTAGTATGGCTGTGGTTGCAACTGCACTGTAGGAGGAAGGGAGGGTGATGCTACTCACAGTAACAAAGGTGCCATTATAACCCATATACACCACACAATCCTTGTCTCAGCAGACTCTACCAAAGTTACTGCATGAGAACAGCTAGGTCTAGAAACATGGACAGCACATTTGAAGTGAACATCCAGCACTCTTCTAAAACAGTTTCATACTCTGATGTATGGGGAACACGGTAGCGCAGTTGGTTGAAGCACTATGCTACAAGCCAGAAGGTTGTGCATTCAAGTCCCGATGAGATCACTGGATTTTTTCAATTGACCTAATCCTTCCAGCTGCACTATGGCCCTGGGATCGACTCAGCCTCTTAACAGAAATGAGTACCAGGAATATTCTTGTGGGTAAGGGGTGGCCGGCGCGTAAGGCTGACAACCTTAGCGCCATCTATGAGTCGATTGTCTAGAAAATGCGGGAACCTCAACATCTCATAACCCTATGGGCCTCCATGAACTGTTACAGGGATAGCTTTACTTTTCTTACTCTGGAATGTTCCAATCTTGTAAACATTCTTTTGTGGTTATTTCTATCCCAGCTTCTATAATCTCAGAGGCTTACGACCCCCCCCCCAAAAAAAAACACTGTGGTTTTAGTCCGCAAGCAAATTATACCGACTGAGCGATTGCCGCTTGTTGGTGAAGTTAGTGTCAACTTTAGCGGATAGTGTTGTGTGGTCAGCGCAATGGATCCCCATGGCCGTTAATTTCGATTTTCCAGACCAGAGCCGCTATTTCCTTGAAACAGTTCCTCAATTATCCTCATGAGGCTGAGTGAACCACGTTCCAGACCCACTACTTCTCAGAAAATCTGGTAGCACCAGGAATCGAACCTGGACCTCTAGATTTGTAGCCAAGAACTCTGACCACTAGATGACAGAGGCAGTCCAGAGGTATTACCTGTATAAATTCTTCCACGCACACACGCAGACAAACACACACACAGATATTATGTCAATAACTGTTGTTTCAAAGTATAACGTGTAAAATCAGTTTATATATAGGTCTGATACAGGGCTGTTTTAACCTAGAGTCTCTCATTTCCTCAAATTGTTTGACTAACTGAAAACTAATTCTGTTCTGATATTTAAAAGGATGGACTTCTGGTACTTATTTATGTAAAACTATAATTTTACTTTCTGTTTCGTGTGGATGTGAAACTTGGTCTCTAACATTAATATCTGGACTCAAGATGGAGAAACTGACATGAAGCTAGACAAATACTACATGAAGAGCTTGAGAATTTGTACTCTTTGCCAGTTACTGTCAGGAGAATCAAATCAAGGATAAGATAAATAGCAATGCACATGGGAGAGATGATAAATGCATACAAAATTTTGACTGGAAAATATGAAGACCCAGGCATATATAAATGAATCCTACAGAAATATGATGGAAGGCACTTAACTGAATTCATCTGGCTCAGGAGAGAAAGCTATGATTGGCATCTGTCAACATGATAACGGAACTATCAAGTTCCACAAAAGAAGGTGAATTTCTTGAGAACCTGAAAGAAAATTTGGTCCTCTGGGACTCTGCTCCATACAGTGAGTGAATGAGTTAGTTCTTTAGGACTAAAGTACATTCCTCAAACTTACCATTATTAACTTGTCCTTCCAATGCCTCCACATATGCTGCAGCCAAGGCTTGCAAGTCGGTCGCTTGAGAATCTAAGAATGACAATAAACACATTATTATGTCAAACTACTTTCCTGATTTATAAATTAACAAGAAGTTTTGGGAAGAACTAATCGACTACTTTCCTTTCACTGTAATTTTAGTATCCGCTACAATATGTAGAAAGAAAACATTAGTATGTATGCATAATGAAATAAAACAATACAATTTGGGAGGCTTCAGTGTTGGTATTACTGATGGGAAAGACTGATGAATTACAAAACTGAGATTACCTCTGACTGTATGGTACATGTACCAAATTTCATGACTAGTTTGGACCTTCAGGTAATATTAAGGTTATTACTCTGACAATCTGAGAGGCTGCAGTGTAGGTACCGCTAACACGAAGGATTTATGATGTATGCCATTAAGATGGCCATATACACACCAAGCTTCATGAAGACTGATGCAGGCATTCAAGAAATATTAAGGTTTAGTCTCAGAAATCTGAGAGGCTGCAATGTTGGTATTACTGAACGGAGGGATTTAAGATGTAGACCGCTGAAATGGGCTCAGGTTGTGTGATATGCATATAAAGTTTCATGAAGATTGGTAGAGGTGTTCAAGCAATATTAAGGTCTGGTCTCAGCAATTTGAAAGGCCATAATGTTGGTATTACTGATGAGTGGAATTTATGATGTATGCCATTGAAATGGGCTCAGGAAGCATGATACATATACCAAGTTCCATGATGATTGATTCAGGAATTTAAGTAGCATTACAATTATTACAGATTGAACAGATTTACAAATTACACTGTTGTGATGGCTTCATGTGGCATGATATACATACCAAGTTCCATGAAGACTGGTACAGGCATTCAAGCAACATTAAGATTTTGCTTCAGAAATCTGAGAGGCTCTAACGCTGGTATTATTGATGGGTGGGATTTAATAGTGTACGCTGTTGAGATGGGCTCAGCTGCCTTGATATACCAAGTCTCATATGGATTGGTTAAGCCATTCAAAAGTTAATAGAGGGGGATACACACACACACAGACAACAAGGTAATCTCATAAGCCTAATTTATGTTTCAAAAGGAAAGTCGGTGAACAATTGGAAGTCATAAGTATATAATGCTTTTACTCTTTTACCTGAATGCACAGACTCCGAATCAGAGGAAGGTGAAGGCAAAGCATCCTGAACAGTTTCTGCATAATGAGTGGCAGAAACCTCTGAGCTCACACTCTCATCTGAACTCCAGCCTTCAATTTCCCGCTGAACCAAGGAATCAAAGAAGGCCATCATACGAGGATCTTCTTTCGTAGACTGGTGACTATAGTCATGGGACATGAACTGAAATAAGATACACACGTCTTCCAAAGAATGTAATTATTTCAGCATGCTGAACAACACATGAATGAGACTGCACAACATACTTACTTGCATACCTTCCACATTCCTCTAAGGGGCATGTGTAAATGATATATCATGTTAAAACCATGAATTGTGAAGTGAGGAGATACTATATGGGACAGAAAAATACACTGATGGCTAATCTCTACAAGTTTCTGATAATGGCTGATTCACTATAAGAATATTATGCTGGACAACCTCTAGCCCCCTGATTTACACTACTTTTCTTTTTGTGAGTTATTTTATGACACTATCAGTACACACAGTATACATCACTGAGTGGTGGAATGACTAATGAATGATGAATTGGAAAGGATTTGGAAGAAAAATATCATGGCCTAATCGAGGTACTATACCAACAACTACCTGGAGGCACTGTGGAAAATTTCAGAGCTATGAGTTAAAATAGCTAATGTCCAGGCATGAGGTAGCATAGTTGTTTAAGGCACTATGCCACAAGGCAGAAGGTCGTGGATTCGGTTCCTGATGAGGTCACTGGATTTTTCAATTGACCCAATCCTTCCAGCTGCAGTATGGCCCTGGGGTCAACTCAGCCTCTAACAGAAATGACTACCAGAAATCTTCTTGGGGGTAAAGGGTGGCTGGCACATAAGGCTGACAAACTCACCACCATCTGTACGCTGTCTAGAAAATGTGAGAGCCTCGACCTATATGAGCCTCTGTTGCCTGTTACAAGGACAGCTTTACCTTTTATTTTACCAGGCTGAGATTCAAATGTAGCACCTATTCGCTTAGTGGGGGGTGGATTCCAACTGGGTCCACTCGGCACAGCGGCCAATGACTGGCCCATTGTAACCTGCCCTGGGTGATTATGATGATGGAGAATTTGGTGGAATGAAGATCGACAGGGGAAACCGAAGTACTCGGAGAAAACCCGCCCCAGTGCCACTTTGTCCACCACAAATCTCACTTGACCAGACCCGGGATCGAACCCGCGCTGCCGTGGTGGGAAGCCAGCGACTAACCGCTTCAGCTATGGTGCGGCCTTAGCACCTATAAAATACAAGTCTAGAGTGGTACTACTAATGGGCCCAAGTGAGTAGGACACTTATCCCCTTGCATATGATGATTGGAACAGATCCAGTTTCTGAAACAATGCATATATTAAAAATACCCTAGACAATGTACAACATCCAACATAATATATTCTTATACACTATTGACTGTAATATGACAATGCCCCCTAAGCTGACATGATAGTCAGTTCTTAAGGGCTCTGACAACGCTATATTACACTTAAGATTGCTAGATTTCTGCACCTTGTCCATTGACCAGTATTCTAAAGAACACAGTGTTCCAGAAACAGGTCCAGTCTCCAAAATGTTGTGTTCTTTAGAATATCAGGCAATGGACCAAGGCCCCCCCCCCAAAAAAACGATGATCAGAACACTTTAGAATCTACTTCTCAGATGACATTTCATGAACATAAATATGGGCTCTTCAGAAATGCATATGAGAATCCAAAGAATTACCTGGCCACTCCTGAGCACCAAACTTATGTATTCTTCATGGGTAAAAACTTTCCGTTGCTTGTCAGTTGGTTCACTTTCATCTAAAAGACTTCCTGTTGATTCTGGTAGTGGGAATGGACTCCAAAACTGAATCAATGCAAAAAGAAGACAGTAAGACTTAGGCACAAAGAATATTATACAATTATGGTACAACTACCACATTTCCTTTACCTTTATTAGTTTCTCCACTCCTGAAGATGCAATTATGTAATTTGAAGGATTGAAGCGTACTTGATTAACAATTGATCGATGTCCTCTGAGTATCATATGTGCTGAACCAATCCACTGAGCTAAAAAATACAGATTTATATTAATAACATTATTCAAATGTTCATCGTATTTTTAAACTGAAATGTTAAATATTGTCTTTAACTGGTTTCTACAGAAACTAAATCCCTACAGAAGGCACATAATTGGCATACATGAGTCTCAAATTGTCAGGACTAAAATGAGAGAAAAAACTGTCTTAAATTGAATACTGATATTTCAGTCTCAAACTGTGAAAATCTTCAAATAACTGCTCTTGCTTTGTAAAGCAGCAATCAAACTACCATCAGGCTTAGTTAGTTAGTTAGTTATTGGAGAGGGTGGGTTTCCCCATGCACTTAGACTTGTATTGGTCCATTGTCCTTCCCTCTATGATTTCTACCAGTCTCTATATCCTACCGGTACTGGTGCTTACCATCAGTCCTGCCCAGCCAGCGAGGCCGGCTCTACTAGCTGAGTGGTATCTATAATGCTTCCCCCATCTACCAGAGGTATTAGAGACTGCTGTTGGGCAGGAAACGTCCGTAATTTGGCTCAGTGACCTTTGGAGACATGAGGTTCTTTTACGTGCTGTAAAGCTACGACACGGGACCCAGACTTAAAGTCCCTCCCGGAGGACTTGTTCCCTGAATTTTTCCACCCTTAAAAATTTGATGACCTCCGCTGGGTATTTGAACCCGCGTACTACAAGTCATGAAGTGGGAACGTTACCTCTAGACTATGGAGGCCGCTTACCATCAGGCTTAGTCATAATGGTTGGCAATGCTGGCATGAATCAACCTGTCAACAAAATCTCTTTTTCTGCACACACACTGTACCTTTCTCCATTTCTTTACGTAACAGCAGAATATGATATCAAAAGAAATAAGTGGTGTACTTCCAAATTATCTCAATCATCCCTCAAACTGAAAGTCATTCCCCCAGTTTAATAACAGATAATTTAAAATACCAATCTGTATACTATTATAATTATTTGAAGCAGCTAACATTATACATCTAGGAAGATAAGTTTGTATGTGGTATCCTTGATGTCTCACAACATTATGGGTCTTCGTGGCCTGTTACAGGGACAGCTTTACTGTTACCTTTTATGCCTTATGCCATTACTTCTCAAATTGATGCTCTCTGAGCTGGTCAGAGGTGTTCTGTGACTGAAATCAAATAATTGTAGCCTCTTCCAAGTTCCTCAAAAGAAAGTTGATAGATAGAATTTTCTTTCATGTGGTATCGCTCGTTTTACAAACATCCAATTTACAAATTTTCACCACAATGAAGCACTGTTCATCTACACCTCTTTTTCACTTAACAAACTTCATTTTTAATACAGCAAACAACTTAAGTTTGTAATTTCAATGACTACATATATAAAGTAATGGGACTTTTGTTTTCAATTTACGAATTACAGTTTTCGTAGAATGAATTACCTTCATAAATCAAGGGATACCTGTATTTTTCTCAATCTCCTATGCGCCTTTTATTTTTTACTTATCTTTGTCTTTACTAGGCATGATTTATTATGACTGTTTTTATCAGTGTTACTGTTACTGCAATCACTGCTATCATGTTGTTATCTGTGATGTAAATGGCATAATATAACTTATATTTTGCAGTACTAATACTGTTCCTACGTCAACAGTTACGAAAAATATCAAAATTTCAGATGTCTTGCAGAAGGTGATGTGCTGTCCAGGTGCTCCACAAACTGCAAAAGTTTGGGAACTGCTCCCTTACACTACAGAAACTTTAAAATTTATATAAAAACAATTTTAAGAAAAATTTTGAAATTTTATCTATACCTTAATTTTAAGGCAATTTTAGTCCTGGGAATGGTAAAACTTGGTTCATTCAAAATTAAAATTTATCAGAAAGATGGCAGTCAGACATAATGGCTGCAATTCTAAGAAGCCCATGGGCTTCAGCTCTTCAAATACCAGTATTCTTGGATCAAATTCCACTCACGGTCTGTTCTTCCTTTATTATCTATAGAAGAGGCCTTGCAAAGGGCTGATTCTCCATAATGTGAGTTTTACAAAATGTCTAACAGCATAATTGAAACAAAAACCTCAACACTGTTAACTAACACCTGTACAAACCTTCCCATCTACAAACAGTCCAGATCTAAGAAACTGGACATGTGCAGACTGCAGTTGAGAACTCAAAAATTTTCAAACACAGAAATAACAAAACAGTAAAACATAACAACCAACCCTTACTTTCAGATGGAGGTATCTGCCACATGTAGAGATTAAAATCATCAGAGCCGGACAACACATACTGGTCATCTTCTCCTGCAAAGCAGCAGCTCTTCATGGTGCACGAGTTGTAATACCCAGCATGATCGAACTGGCAGATATGTGTAGGAGAATGTACAGCGTACAGTACTGGTGGCAGACGGCGGCGAAGCGCAAGAATCTGAGTACCACGCTGATTGAAACGAACACTCATGCAACTCTGGGAAACGTTCTGACCACCATAACGCATCACAGCCCTAATTAGGAAGATTTTTTCTTTGTTTTAACAACATAAAATATTATAATGAACACAATCAATTACATTCATAATACAGAAGAATATCCAACAGGCTTCTAAACCAAAGGAAGTAAAACCTCTGTATCACAAATCTCTAAGTATTATAAAAATGTTACTTTAGACAGTGTCCAACATCATTTGCAGTATATTTTAAATATATTCCAAATGATGGACAATCTCTATAATAAATACACCACTGTCACACACTTTTAGAGAAAATATTCCCTATGTGTAAGATTTGAGGCTTTCACGGCGGTGACTATGAAGAAAGCAGTCTTCTGGGATTTTGCACCGTGTATATGTGGTGTTACCCGATGTTTCAGAGGAACGTATCGCCTCCATCTTCAGGGTAGAAGAAAAAATATATAAGAAATCTGCAAGCAAAGAGACTGTGAGAACCGGTAAAAGCAGTCTGCTTTTAGGCGATACGTTCCTCCGAAACGTCGGTTAACACCACATATACACGGTGCAAAATCCCAGAAGACTGCTTTCTTCATATTCCCTATGTATTTGACAAGTTTTTTGCTCTTTTTTGGCCCTTCTGGTCTCTGCCAATATAGGCTAGAGCACAAAACTGAATTCTGTGACATGAACAGCAACAGGCTGGATTCTGTTATCCCAAGAATAGGCTGCTCAAGAACATGATGGTTGGCACAGCTTCTGTACAAAGAAATCCATATTTTCTGGGAGCAGGGCTGTAATCTTCTGGCTACCAGATTACAAGTTGAGTGCACCATTTCATGCTTATGTCTCGTTTGTGAACAGACTGTTATGTATTGCTTGTGTGTACATAAAAGCTGAAATACATAACACTAAATACAGTTAGAAAAATTGGCACAAATGTAAAATCACATATCTGAAACCCATGGCTGAAAAAGGAGAGCAGGTGGAAACAAAACGTGTTCTGGACATATATAAAGTAAATTTGAAGAACTCACTGGAGAGGTTTTCTCACATCCCAAAGACAAACTCCTTCCTTAGAATTGGCTGTCGTGAGTATTCTGGATTCCACAGGATTGAACATTACTGCATGAAATGCTGAGGTATAACTGGCAAGGCAAAATGTTTCTGCAAAAGAAAATAGGAAAATAAAATGCTTGTTCTGCTAATAAAGGAAAATGAGTGATTTGTTTAATACAGGTATTTGTGGGAATATACGAGGGAGAGTCAGAGAATAGGTCACAAGTGGAAGTAAATCAGCTGTAATGGAAGTAATATGTTTTCTATATGTATCACTAGGTAGCAGCACAGTCCAGTGTCATATATGGAGGTCCTCATTAATATCAATACAGGACACAATAAGAGAAACTACCCATCACCATAAAACACATAGGCGCAGACGAGGATATAACTTAAAATTTTTCTTTATGGATGGAGCACAGCAGTTTCATCAGCAATTTTAGAGACACCTGAAGATGACCAATGTTGGTCAAAACATGCAGTGTGCATGCACCAATGATGTACAGAGATTTTATGGAACATTTACAGGTTTTAAAAAGCAAGTTGCATGTGAGGTGGCTAATAACAGGAATAAATAAGTAATGTTTAAGAGAATGCTACGATACAATATTATGAACTATCTGTGAAGTTTCAATGGCCATATACTGTTATCTGTAAACCTTATATTGTCTTAAACATTGTATGGTGCATGGGAATGGCTTGATAAACAAGTGAGCCATCACTAGGCAACAGCCCACAACAGAGAAGCCATGGAAATGGTGCTTTCTATCTGATCTGTCCTGAGGCTAGACAGCAAGGCAACTTAGTTGAAGCTATCAGGGGTGGTGAGACAGCTGCCAGCCAGTAAGGACATAAGTGCAAAAGCTGAGGAATCAACAATATTGGGAGCAGTTACCAAGCAATGACTGGTGAAGACACAGAAGACTTTATGTGATCTGAAGTGCAGTGATTTTTTAGGGTGTGTAGATCCGTGAAACTGTTGCAGTTACCTGTAGTTACGAGTTATACAAGTTAAATTAATCCAATCATCAATCCAAATCCTGTTTTTAGTAACTAAATTGTGACAATATTTTAATAGTTCACCGCATCATTCTTAACCATGCTACAATATATACTGTCACTTAAGTACTGAAGTGTACTCTGTCCATCAACATTGGAAAATGGGTTTGAAGTTAGAGAACCAACTGCAGTTCAAACATGACTCAGATCAAACCACATTCAGAGAATTCACACTTACAAGTAAGGGAAACCTATGAAAGTATCTGGAGATAGCGCAACACAATATGAAGAATCAGATGAGTGTTATACCTTACTTTTGCCCAAAAGCAAAAATAGAACATTTGAAAAGTAAGGTGACGATATTCAGATTGACTTTACATTGACATAACATTACAGAATACGACTACATAGAATTGAATAGTTCTATCTTCTGGCATATAATGCCATGCAGTCTGTTGAAAGTCAACCTTCATTGTGGAGGAACATTTTCCTCCGAAACGCTGGCTGACTTCCAGTAGACTACATGGCATTATATGCCAGAAGATGGGACTCTTCATAACCATCATTGTGAGAATCTCAAATACTACACATAATTGTTTCCAAACCTACAATACTGCTTACCTGTGCCCGGCGGCGAACGAATGTCATAAATAAGGATCCTTCCATCATCACAGGCACTGGCGAATACATTATCGTTTATTGGATCTATAGAAAGACCATAAACTGGCTGTTCATGCAGAAAATATTCAAGAGGATCTCCACTGCAAACAGATGAAATAAGTGTTAGTAAATTTAAAAAAAAAATGTAATAGTGGTGCAATTGCTCCCCTTTGTTTAATTACCTCAAAATTACAACACTCATGAAAAAATATACTGGGCACAAAATGTACGGTTTCTTTTTTTTTTTCCACACGAATTCTGTTCAAAACCATTTTTGCTGTGATAAATATTTACCAACTTGCACTCATGATGCACACACAGAAGCATACAGGCTGTCCCAGGAGTTTGGTGCCATACTTCAGGAGCGTACTGAGGGTTCCTTATAGAATAACTTTGAAATAGGAACCCATGACCACAAACATAAAATAGCAGTGCCAGGGTGGCATTTAAAATCATTTCGTTTAAACTTGGTGCCTCAATGTTGAACTGCATTGCAGAGAGGAACAGCCATCCACCAGCACTCATGCCATTGTCAAGATTGTGGGGACATCAAAATCAAGTGTTTGGAGGATCCTGCACGACCAACAACTTTATCCATATCATCCAACATGAGTACAAAATGTAGGTCCCGCTGACTTCGTACCATGAGTTCAATTTTGTCAGGGGATACTGAACCAGTGTTTACATCAGCCATACTTCCTGAATCACGTGTTACTCACAGACGAAGCGCAGTTTACAAGGGATGGCTGGTTCAACTGTCGAAACAGCCACGTTTGGGCTGACGAAAACCCCAATGTTACTGTAGTTGGTTACCATCTGGCACCATTTTCTGTCAACGTCTGGGCGGGCATCATTGGCGATCACTTGATTGGGCCTTTCCTCCTACCACCGCGACTCAATGGGCCCTTTTACAAGGTGTTCCTGGAACATATCCTTCCGACATTGCGAGAAGATGTGCCACTGATTGTGCAGAGGCAAATGTGGATACAGCATGATGGAGCACTGGCACACTTCAGCATTGTATCATGAGACTACCTGGATGCTGCTTGGTTGTTGGATAGGAAGAGGAGGCCCAGTGCCTTGGCCACCCTGATCCCCAGACTTGACACCTCTCGACTATTTTGTCTGGGGCCATGTGAAAAGCCTGATCCACGACATGCCTGTGGATAATGAATTTGAGCTGTTGGCCAGAATACTTGTTGCATGTGACGTAATCCATGAGACACTTGGAATATTTGAGAGGGTGCGCCAAACTTTCTTTTGTCGATGTAATGCATGCATTGAAAATGGAGGGCATCAATTCCAATATCTACTCTAGCAGGCGAGTCTTAAGAGTATGGAGGGGATAATATGCCTGTGCATGCTCTTCGACATTGAGGCGCCAAGTTTAAACAAAATGATATTAAATGCCACCCTTGTCCTGCTCTTTTACGTTTGTGGACATGGGTTCCTATTTCAAAGTTGTTCCATAGGAAACCTTCAGTATGCTCCTGAAGTATGGCACCAAACACCTGGGACACCTGTATAGGGCTTCACATACTACCCATTATCTTTGAATCAATTTAACCAAAACCTGAATGTCTGAGCAGCGTTCAGTAAAATCCCCACTACCAAATTTCATGAAAATCCATTCAATAGCAAGTTTCTGCCGTTCTTCTCCTGTCTTTAGAAATACAGTCTTAAAAATTATAACTTATTACTATTTTTCATTATATTACAATTAAGGTTTCTGCTGCTTCAAACCTGAATGTAAAATTTTGTTGAAAAATGTGACTTTCACTGTTAACACATGCCATGCACTTTGTGTGGGGTTTCGAGATTTTTTAAATTTTAAATTAAAGACTCCTTATCGGTGTTCTAAAAGAACTAACTCAACTTTCAGTCCTTACTATTTGTTTCTGATATATACTGAAATAAACTCCTTATTCTATAAACAAACATCATTTAATATGATCACCACAGGGTTGAGTATTCCTTTGTTATGTGATGGTCTGTTACAAAATACGTGTGGGTTATTCGAACAGAACCAGTTGGGGACATTTAGGTTAAGGAGGCAGTTATACAAGCCCCCATGGGCATTGAGATGGGGGTCTCACTGATGAACCAAATGAGGGATCTCTTCCACAAAGAACACCCTGGGCTGCTGCTGGAGCCACTGCAGCCTTAATGTCTTCATCCAACCCATATCTATGGCCCTTTACTGATTTCCTGATGAGGCCAAACACGGCTGAATGTGTGTCACATAAACAATGATCATAAGATAGTTCACAATTAATTGGGCATTGCAGAAAAATATGTTGTGCCCGCAACTTACGTTTTCACATCGTGAACAATCACTTGGTCATCATTGCCTGCTGAAAACACTTTACTGTTCGTACTATCGAAACCAAGGCAGAATATGTTACTGATGTGTTGGGCTCGCATAGCAGCAGGTTTACTAACACCATGAACTGCCTGTTCAACATTCCATATCAGCACTCGCCTGTCATCACCACCTGCAACAAACAAGGAATTCACCTAACTTTATGTGAAAGCATTTCTTCAACAATTCTTCCTCTCAGCAGATGCAATTCATGGATCACTCTAACCATCGCCATCAAATGGAGTCCATCCTCTTTTTAGTTTACTTTGCAATGCTGTGGCCATGGCCTAATTTAAGGTACTATCCCAGAATTTGCCTCACAGGACTGATAAAACCCACAACAAATCTCAGAACAGTTAAGGGTCTTGTTCAAGAATAAAATCAGACCATTTTTGAATGCACGTCAAACGGGTTACCACATGAGAAAATCTGCTTGGTCAGAATCCTTCTTCACATACTAACAGTCACTCATCTAGTCAAAAACTCTGCTTTTCATGGCACCCAGAAGTTCTTAGCATGTCAAAAGCCCACCACTGGACCCTATCCTGTAGTACCTGAATCCAATCCACATCCTCCCATGCTACTTTTGTAAGATCCGTTTTAATATTATCCTCTCATCTAGGTTTTCCAAAGTTATCTCTTCCTATAAAAGGTTAATTAATTCTATCCAGTGTGACTGATGCAGTTTTTCTCCTTTTTAATATTTTATCCTTAACATGTTTTGGTCTTAGAGAGCATCTTCAGAAGGACATAAATACAATTAGAAACCACTATTACACTATGCTTTGTGAATATTAATATATATATATATACAATGTTATCATAATACAATGAGTACAAAATCTAATGTTTTTAACAACTACAGTGGCTTGTACTAATATGTTAAAATAATAAATTATAATTAGTTATTTTTAAAAAGATTTTGTTAAAATTTTTAAACCAAATTGGTCCATATCCTTTTTATTTCTCCTTTTTGAAGGAAGCCAAGCGTCTACCGCCTTGTGGTTCTATTGTTTGGAAAATAGGATTCTTCAGTGTCGTCCTGTGATGTTCGAGGTGCACTGTGTGTATAACACAAAATCTTTTTAAATATATTAACTGTAATTCATAAATATTTTAACGTATTAGTACAAGCCACTATAGTTGTTAAAAACATTGGATTTTGTACTCTTTGTATAACACTGTACGGATATATTAATATTCACAAAACATATTGTAACAGTGGTTTCTAATTGTATTGATATCCTTCTGACAATGGTCTAAAGGCCGAAACATCTTAAGGATAATATATTAAAAGGAGAAAAAACTCCATCACACTAGATGGAATTAATTAACCATTTATAATACTGTTAGTGTAAAGGACCAGGGTGAAACAAATAGAACTCATCTCTTTCCCTCAGGTTTCCTGACTGCAATCCTTATTTCTCCCTAGCTTGTTACATGTCCTGCCTATTTCAATTCTCCTTTATTTTGAGCATGCTAATATGAGATCAAGAGTACAAATTACATAAGTTTTTAAAGATGCCATCTTCTGGGATGGGGAGCCATGTGAACCGACCCTGACCCTGAAGATGGAGGTGATAAGTTCCTCCAAATCGTCGGTTCACACAAGCGCTAATGAAATTCAAAGGAAAACGAATGAAACAATAAACAAAATCACAGAGTGGTTTGAGAGGAATCGATTAACTATCAATAAAGAGAAAACAATAGCAATAGCCTTGTAAACAATTCTAAGTATTTAGCTTTACTCTCTTATTGTAATCTGCCAATGTACAGTAACTGACTTGTCCTATATCATGTAACAATGATCTATAGAGACAAAATAAATAAATAAAATAAATCGATGTACATGGCTTCACACCCCATTCTTCATAGTCACCACTGTGAAAACCTCAAATTTTATATAAAAGTTTTCATTATGCAATCTTTTCTTGCTGCCAATCATTTCGTTTTCTTGGTTCCAAATATTCTCAGTGCCCTTTATCAAATGCTGCCAGCCTAAGAGGAGTCACATATTGTGGATGTGACACCATGTAGTCCTCTGATGTTTAACAACATTCTGGAGGAATATACTGGCTCTATCATTAGAGTCAAAGAGCAAGCCAAGCAAGCAGAAAGCCAGAAGCAATCAGAGTCACAGAGAGTTCACATCCTACAGATTCAGCAATACAATCACAGTCATTTTATTTTACTTTAGTGAAGAAAAAATTACTTTAGTACAGATTCTTGTCATGTTATTACCATTTGTAGCAAATTACATAGCATGAAAAGTACAATTTTCTGGGTTGTAATACAATGTAATTTGGTGAACTCCACAAACATTTCAAAGGAATCTCACTGGACATTTACCATACTACACAGCATTACAACACAAACAATTACACTATTCAGTCACCACTAAGAGGATCTCATATACAATATAAAATATGACTCTTGAGATGGCCTTCAATGGCATACTGCTGACACCAAGTTTCATGAAATTGAACCACTAGTTCAAAAGTTAAAATGGGGGAACAGAGAGAGAGAGACACAGTACAATGATCTCATGAGTCAATTTCTGCTTGTTAAGAAGGGAAAGCAGAATAAAAATGTATCAATAAGAATGTACATACAGTGAACTATAACAGAATTTTATTCTGCAGACAAAAATTGATAGAATTGCTATAAAACTTGGTTATAGCAACATCGGTTTCTGCGACACCTTGTCTATTGCATCAAATATTCAATGGTACGAACTAATTCCTCATAAAGCAACTGTTTTTATACCTTGCTTAGTACGACATTCACAAATGCATCAACCTCGTATGTAACGTCATTTTCATTCCTGAATTTCTCTGATATCGTGGGAAAGTTTGATGTGTCTGCCCACCCTCACTTTCTCTACTTGCTGACGTGACTGTCCTGGAAGAATACGACCGCGGGCTGCAAGAGGAGCATGGGTTTTATGCAAAAACAAGGGTGTGGGGTGCGACTGCGTGAATAGTGCAAGAGGACGCGGCAGGTTGTTAACTGCATTCCTTTCCTAGAATCTCGTCTAACAGGACCTCACATTGTCTACTTACCCTATAGTGTTCCTGCCTAAACCCAGAGAAGTGCAGTAGCGAAAACATGGCAATGAAAAGGAAAGTTTTAAGCACTGAAGAGAAAGTTAAAGTGATTCGTGAAATATAAAATGGAAGGAAAAAAGCTGATGTATGCCGCGAATTTGGTTTGGTGAATTCTACAGTACAAACGATATGGAGAATCCATATTAATTCCACGTTAATGTTACGTTAGTCTGTACTTAACTACGTATTTCACTAAAAAATGCAACATTTTAACTCGGTTTTTGGTAGATTTTTACGTGACTAACATAAGGCTACTGTGGAAGTGCCCATTTCGGTTACAACGACATTCGTTTATAACGACACTATTTTTAGGTCCCTTTGATGACGTTATAACCAAGTTCTACTGTATATGTGGTGCAATCCAAAAGTTCCCGAAATATATTAATAAAAACTATTACATCTTACCTAGATCTTATTCTCCACCATCACCTTCAAAGTATTCCCCTTGGAAGCGCATACACCGACCCCAGCATTTCTTCCACTTTTCAAATGCATCCTGGAAGTCTTTCTTTGTTAGGGTGTTTAGTACAGTCTGCGTTTCTGCTTGAATTTCCTCAACTGTATCAAATCTTCGCCCCTTCAACTTGATTTTCATCTTGGGGAAGAGAAAGAAGTCGCATGGAGCTAAGTCTGGCGAGTACGGTGGGTGGGGAACAACTGCCATCTTGTTTTTAGCCAAAAATTCCTGCACAATGTAAGCCTGTAAGCCGTATGCGGTTGTGCGTTGTCATGGTGGAGTACCCAGTCATTCGTGTGTCACTTCTCTGGACATTTTCTGCTCATGTCCTCCCTCAAACGCCTTAGAACATTGTGATAGAACTCTTTATTGACTGTCTGACAAGGAGGGACGAACTCCTTATGAACAATCCCGTCAATATATAAAAAAAACAGAACATGGACTTAATGTTGCTTTTGACTTGTCGAGCTTTTTTGGCTGAGGTGAAGAAGGGCTCTTCCATTGCGATGACTGCTGCTTGCTTTCAGGGTCATAGCCATAAACCCAACTTTCATCACCAGTGACAACCTTCGAAAGAAAGTTTGGATCCTCTTGAAGTTGTTGTTGAAGTTCCCTGCAGACTTCCAAGCAATGCTCCTTCTGCTCATTTTGCAGCAGTCGTGGCACAAACCTTGCCGCAATCCTCATGTTCAGTTCCTCTGACAAAATTCGTTGACATGTACCATAACTTAGTCCCAAGGTGTTACAGAGGTCTTGGATGGTCAGTCTACGATCTTGCAGAATCAGATCCCTAACCTTCGTGACATTTTCTGGTGTGGTGCCAGTTGACGGCCGTCCTGAATGATCATCATCATCATCAGTCGATGTTCGGCCATTTTTGGAACGCTTATACCACTCGTAAGTTTGTGTCTGGACTAAACTGTTGTCACCAAAAGCTTGCTTCAACATTTGGTGCGTTTCTGCAGCGGTTTTCCCAAGTTTGAAACAAAACTTTATACAGACATGCTGCTCTCTCAGGTCAGCCATCGCAAAACCGCAAACTCACGGAAACACAACAATGGAAATACATTCACCAACAATAAACCCAACAACTCAACTCGACGCCGCTTGCCACACTGATTCAAGAAGGATGTGTGAGGAGACACCTATCGGTATTTCGACGTAATCATAACCATTCACGTTCAAAATTCAAATTTCGGAAACTTTTGGATTGCCCCATGTAAAAAGACCCAAAGAAGACAAATACAAAAGATAATGATCAGCGGTGTTGCTTACTGAATCAACATCTAATTTTCTAATTGTGCTCAAAAAGATAATAAGGTGAAAAATATGCAATACTAACTCTAAATGAGAGACGGCTATTTACTGGGTTCATACTTATTGTGTACATATTTTCACAGGCTAAAATTCTGTTATTATACATCGAAGAGCATAACAATTTTATTGCAACATTTATGACTATGCCATTAATAAATGCTGATCAGAAAATATTCAAGCATTGCTAATTTAACTGAAATAATATATTTGATTTGTTTCATTCTGGTCCATCACACTAACAATTATAAATAC